GGTTTTAAAGGTTTCTGCTTACCATAAACCCCCCCCAAATCCCCTTTTCCCCAACTGTTTTGGCTAAGTTCTACATTATTTAAATTTTAATGCTAGGGTTTTTGGGGCACTCCCGAGCCTTTTTTAGAAACCCTTTCATTTATCTACATTTAAATGCATCGCCAAATTTTCTGACCAAGGGGTAAAATTTGTCTAAATCCTCCTGAAGTTCCCTAACCCCTACGTTTGGGGGGGGGGGAAAAATTTTCCCACCCCATCTTCGTGTCATCAGCGAATTTCTCATATCACTAGTAATTCCTTCATCAAGACATTTATATATATTATAAACAAAAAACGGGCCCCCCAAAACTGATCCCTGTTGGAAAGCCACTTTTAACTTTATCCCCACTCGGGAATTTTAAAAACCCTTTATTACACTCCTGCTTCCTGTCTGTGAACCCTGACTCGTCCACAGAGCACCTTCCCCCCAAAGCCATGAGCGCTACTTTCTTTAACAGTCTTTTTGGGGCGGAACTCTATCAAAAAGCCTTACTAAAATCAAAATAAATAATAAAAAAAAACCTTTTTTCATGGTCAATAGCCCCAAAAGCTTTACTGAAAAAAGTTAATAAAATTAGCCCAAAACCGGCCTCTTTGAACCCCGCTGATACCCTTAATCAGGGTATCTTATCGAGATGGCTTTTTTAAAATCTCCCCCCCATAATTGACTTTTAGTAATTTGCCTACATTTGAGGTCAGGGTTTTTTGGGGTAATTTGAAAGGGAACGACTTTTTCCCCTGTTTTTTAAAAAAAGGAATTACTTTTGGGCCCTCTTTCCCCATATCAACACTACACCTGTTTGAAGAGATAAAATTTAAAAAAATTAGTTAATGGTTCACAGACTTTCCCCCTTTTCATTTTCCCTTTAAAAACCCTTAAAAAACCCCATCAGGGCCCCCCTGACTTTTTTTCTTCATTTGGTCTAAACGCTTCACAAAACCCTTTCACAGGGCCCATGAAGTTACCAATTTTTTTTTTCTTCTTCCCGATCCACTTAAAAAAATTTAATTTTTCCGGAATATTATTAGTGTCTTCCTGTTAAAAAACCCCAGAGAAAAAAAATTATTTAAAATCGGCACATTTCATTCTCTTTGTCATAAGAAACCCCCCCAAATTATTTTTAAGGGCCATCTTAAACTCTGACTTTTTTTTCTATATACCCGGAAAAAACTTTTTTGGGTTAGTTTTTGAATCCCCAGCAAATTTAATTTTCCCTAGCCCCTTTAGCTTTTCTTACCCCTTTTTTAAAGTCCCCTTAATGTCAATATACTGATTCAAAATTTACCCTCCCTCTTTTGAAACGCCTATAAATTCCTTTCTTATGCCCTTAGATATTTCACCCCATTATTCCTCCATTTTTTTGGGGCATTTTTTATTTGATCTAATTTCCTTTTAAAAGGGGTAAAAGTTCCTTTTACAAACAAGTATTGTGTTCAGAAAACTGCATATTGATAAACTCTCTTCGTTACCCCCAATCAACAGATGATAATGTTCTCCCAAAACCCATCGTAATCTGCAAGCAAAATCGGGGCTGTTAAATGATTATCCCCCACTATCATACTTCCCCTTCAATTTTTAAATGTAAATTTATTTGGGGGGTTTGCTAGCACCCAGTTCCTCTGAAACTTCCCAAATTAAAATTAAAAAAGGGGTTCCCTTTTTTGCCAGAACAAAATAAGCAGGTTATTTCCCCTTGGAAAGGTTTTTGTCCCCCAAAATGCTTCAAAAAAATCCTGAACACTTCTAAAAATCGTATGCTTCCCAAATTCCCCGTCAAGAAATTCCAAAACAATATGACAAAAGGGTTTTAAAATCTCCTGAATTACACATTTTTGTGCCCTTTTGGCCCTAACAATTTCCTCCCAAAAGTAGGCTCCCTTTGGGCCCCAAAAAAAATTTGGGGAAAGGAAAAACAAACCTAAATTAATTTTCATTTTCCCCCCCGAAAATTCTATCCAAACAAACTCCCGAAAAAATTTTTCTTCAGACTTAATTTCCCCTTTTTATGCAACATTTTAACGATCTCGACAAACCAAAGCCCCCTCACCCCCCTTCCCCCATACTTCTATCTACAAGGGAAAAATTTTAAAACCCTGAATGTGACAATCGCAGGCATGTCCCGACTTTTTGATAAAAACCCCCCCCTCAGTAATGGCAAATACAAACTATGTTACCTGCACTACAACTAGTCCAACTCGTCCATCTTATTCCTAGCACTGCGACTATTTTTTGTAAAAAAAATTTTTAAAAGACCCTCCACTCCCCTTTAACCCCTTTCCCGCTTTCCTTTTTGTTAATTTCCCCCAAACTTATTCCCGTCCTTGTCAATTTTTGGGCCAAAATGCTTTTCCAATATCCCCCTCAATTTTGGGCCCATTCTAGTTCTCCCCAGTACTCATGGGTTTCTACCCGGGGACTTTCATAATTTTCCCGCCAAAAACCCTCCACTAACTAAACCCAGTTTTAAAAAACCCCAACAGCCCCCCCACTGCGTTGGCCAGTGCTCCCACCCCACACCTAAAATAAGTGAACCCCATCCCTGGCATACAAGTCCCTTTTTGCCATTTAAGAAAGGCCCAGTTGTCAATGAATGTTTTCCGGGATTTTCCTTTCAGTACTTGTCCAGCCAGCAAATTTACAACCCAAAAATTTCTCTGGGCAACCATTCATTTTTAAATCCTCTCCTTGGCCAAAAAAGCCACTTTTGACAGTTTTCCCCCCCCTTCCCCCCAATTATCTCAAATTTCTGGGCCTTAAAACCCCAATCAAGGGCCCCACTCCTACCCCGCCAACAACGTTGCCTCCAGCACTGAGACGATATTTGGATTGCTCCCATTAACCCCCCCATTTAATTTATCCAACAGCTAACAATACCTTCCCCGCCCCCGGAAAACACACTCTCCGCCTCCTAAATCCTATCCTTCAAACAGAACGCCCTAAACCATGTACCTAATCTGGGTATCCCCCCAAAAACAACAATTTTTTACCTTTCCCTTGGGGTCGTCCTTTGTGAGCCCCCCCGAGTAGTCGACTCACATTCCCAGGGACATTACACCCCTTGAGAATTCGTCAAGACGTTCTCGAAGGTCCCTTTGTTGGGGGTTTTTTAGGGATGTTTTTAAATCACGTCCCGCCAATGCTTTTTTTGGTGCTCGTTTGGCATTCCCCCGCAGAACACCCACATTCGTCAGGTAGCACCGAGAATAGTTGGGGCGTTTCCCCCGGTATTTTTCGGTTTCCTTGTTTTTCCCCCTCTTTCCCCGTTTTTTTGTCTTCAAACTTGGGTTTCCTTTTGCCCGGCCACTGACCAAGCTCCCCTCTTTAAAACCCGGGGGCTCACAACAGAAAAGGGTTAAATACAAAACCCCCTTTTTTCCCCCTCCGTTTAAAAACCGATTCCATCTTTGCAACTCTGAACTCCTCTCTCCCCTGCTTTGGGAAAATTGCTCAAGAGAAAGGGATCCTGGTAAAAGATTCACAGAGGGACACAAAAAGGTTTTTCCCGAGCCCAAGTACTGAAAGGCTAAATTAGAACTTAGCCATACAGATTGCGAAAAAGGGGTTTGGGGGTTTTTGGGAAGCAGCAACCTTTAAAACCCAAAACAGCAATGCCTAAGCGTAAAGTAATAAGGCAAATAATTTCGGGGAAATTTATCGAAAGTGTAACAACAGAAGCCAGAGGGCATACTGCACTTTATAAAAATCAATTTGTAACCTCACCCCAGATTAGCAGCTCAAATTTTGGGCTCCATAAAAACAGAAGGACAAAAAATTCGTTAGAAAAAATTCAGAGTGGAAAACTAAATTAAACATAGCATTTGAAATCTTTCCCTTTTAAGAAAAATTTTAAGACCTTAAGTTACATTCACTTTTAGGCGAAGAATGAGGGGGGACCCCGATTTGAAGTGTATATGTGAAATAGGATTAAAAAAAGGGGAATTAACAAAGGGCTTTAGGATATCTCTTTAAGAGAGAAAACCCCCAGTAAAAGGGTTTAAATTGGATAAGTTTTTGATTTGGGAAAGGGAAAAGGAAAGTATTGGGTTTTGGGAAAAAGGGTAGTAATGAGTGGAACAGTCACCTATTGGGTTTAAATTTAGGGTGGGCTTTTTTTATTTTTTAAATTTTAAAGGGTTTGGGTAATTTTCATGAGTGGGAGGGTTGGATTTTAGTTTGGGGTTTTTCAACATCAGAGCTTATTTCTTTGGGACATTAAAATTGGGTAGGGGCAAATGTTTTTAGTGGGAGGAAATTTTAAAGGGCCTGCCCAGTAAAAAGGCCCCAAAAGGCCTGCTGCAGTGTTTCCTCCTTTCCCTTTTTTTCTTATGTTCTTTTGATTTTTGCCAAAATGTTTTCTAATTATCCAAAATTTCGGGTTTTCCCGAACCTTCATCACAAAAAACCCGTCAGACACTGCAACTTCCCTTTGGGGTCTTAATACTTGGGAATTCTTTGCTTCCTAATTCTTTGGGGACGACCCACCCTTTAACATTGGGAAAAAATGTTTTCAAACCCCCCCTATGCCTGCTGCAAACCCTCCCGCCAAAGGTTTTTAAAACTCCTTCTCAGCACGAAAGCCTATTCTATTCAAGATTGATGGACCCGACCACATCGACCCCAAGGTTAGGGAAAATTAAAATGGTATAAAATACCGACAGGTTTTAAAGGGAAGACACCCTAGCAACCCGTTTTGTAATGGGCCCATTTTCTCGTCTTCAAATATCTTCTGCTTCTATCAAAATTTTTTGTACTCGGCTGAAAAGCCTACTGTGTATGGGGAAACGTTTTTGAAAAAAGATACCTAACTTTTTTCATATGTTCCCTTTCCTAACATCAAGGTTGAGGGACTGATTACCTCATTCTCCTCCTGTTCTTCAAGATTCTCCTTTGTATGGACTGATGAAAAGACATAGGTCCTAGCCTCTATCACCAGTGGGGTGATAGAGGCTAGGACCTTGGGTAGCTTTAAGAAGAGACTGGACAAATATATGAGTGGGAGGGGCTGGGTTTGATTGGTGTCATGGGGTACGGGAGCTATTTCTTGGGTAGCTTTAGGTAGATGTCGTTTTGATAAGGACCTGCCTCGTATGGGCCAGTAGGCCTTCTGCAGTGTGATTGTTGTTGTGAGAACGGTCCACTTCTGCAGTGTTCCTACATTCTTAAGAAGATACTGGACAAATATATGAGTGGGAGGGGCTGGGTTTGATTGGTGTCATTGGGTACGGGAGTTATTTCTAGGGAAGCTTTAGGTAGTAGTCGTTTTGATAAGGACCTGCCTCGCATGGGCCAGTAGGCCTTCTGCAGTGTTCCTCCATTTTCATGTTCTTATGTTCTTACGTTCTAAATTTATCTAACTCAGAGGAGACGTCCTTAACACCTCAGGTTTAAAGTTTATGAGTATGGATTGAAGGTTTGTGTAACTTTGATAATCGATTAGATGTGTAAATAATTAAGAAGGGCTGGGTATGAGAAGGACCTACCAAACATGGAGTATCAATTTGTATCTCAAAGGACTAGAGTAACCTCTTCTTCCTTCAGTCAAAGGCACGTCAACGGGTTCAGTGGTGAGGTGTACAAGAGGGCACATAAAGAGGCCTTGGCGACGTCAGACCATCAGTCACCAAGAGCCATATCTTACAGGATGACGGGCATGTGTGCATATGTGCTACTCCTGTCGGTGGTGTTGCTCGTCTCCTGCAGACCTGAGCTCCCTCCACCTTTCCTTCAGGAGCCTGAAGGTAAAGTGAAGCTGATGCATTATTATTTTACTTTCCGCATTTTTTACTATCCATTTATTTTAGTATTTTAGCTAATTTTTCTTATTCTTTCAGTAATATTTTTAAAACTAATTAAAATATTCATAGAATGTCCGTAAAATATATAGCTTAAAAGAAATGATAGCCGCAAACCGATATAAAATCACTGTATTAAAAATTATCAATCTTTACGTTATACATTTCAAGAATGTTTTACATTATTATTTTTCGTCCACAGCATCCAACATTTCTAACTCATCTGCTACTACATACATTGAGACTACCAAGGAGGAAAAAAGTAACTCATCGTTTACGTCATCGACATCTGTGAAAGAGAGTACCACTTTTATTCACATACCGTCCACACAAGAGGAAAAGAAGAACGCTTATTTTATTTACAGCAGATCATCAGAACTAATGAAAACGTCAGTAATGAGGATAAGATTAGCAGTACCAATAGTATTGTCACTTTTTATGGCAGTATTATTGATAGTAGTTATAATGTCAATAATATCAATTATAAGACACATTGGGTATCATGCCATATGATATTGACAAGCTTCCGTAAAACATTGTTCAGTAGAGATTTCTGTATGGTTTATATTTGAATAAATATTCGAGCTTTTAACCAATATTTTTTCTCCACCTCTAGAAATTGTTGGAACCATAGACTCGGGGAAGTGGATAAATAGTGGATTTGAATATTCCATTTCCCCTATATTTATATCTATATCCTAAGATTCTGAAAGATATTGTATGACCTCTACAGATATCTGACATAACATTTTATGGCAGAAATGCTTCGTTCTGGAGCTTCATCAGTCCAATGAGGACTGTAAGATAAGGCAAGATTTCGTTCGGATTTTTAACCCCGGAGGGTTAACCACAATTTAAAACCCTGAACGTGACATTCCGCAGATATGTCCCGACTTTTGGAATTAAACCACGTCTCAGTGATGACAAATACATCAATGTTACCTGCACTAGGAGCTAATCTCAACTCGTCCATCTTATTCCTAGCACTACGGCTCATTTTCGTTTTTCCATTAAACCTATTAATGTCCCCGATCCCCGTCGGGGAAGGGAACCTACAGTCATCGTACCAGCGCCTGACTTACTCCTTCATGATGCTTGCAAACCGTGTAAGGATCAAACCCAACAGTGGAGTAATAAATGACTCTACAAAACTTGCCCTTGCTGCCGCTGTGAAGACCTGCCTACAAGTAAAATTTACAGCCATCCACTCGACGAAAGACTCATTCATCGTCGTCTGCACTGACGATTATGAAGCCACAAAGCTGATCGCCGACACTTCTATGAAAACCCTCAGAGACCGACAGTTCACCATCTCCCCTTCACCTTTTTTGCTGGCGAAACGTTCCGTTTTCGTCAAACGGCTGGACAAACTCGTCACTTCTTTATCGACTGAGGATCTCAAGACCTCTATCGAGGAACAAAATACCTGGGCGTCGATTGAACATATCACCAAAATCCCCAACGCCTCTACAATGATCAAGCTAACCTTCTCCAACATCGAGATGGCTACTAGAGCACTGTCTGACGGCCTAGCTATCTCCTACTATCATATCCATCCAAGTCACATAGAACCCGAACGTTTCGCCCACATCTCGCCATGCTGGACCTGCTACTCCTATCACCACTCAACGCCTGACTGTCCTCTGAAAGGGAAGAAGTACTGCACAAACTGCGGTAAAGACGGCCATGACTTCAAGGAATGTTCTACTACCACTACCTCTCCTACCTGCCTTAACTGCAAGGGTACTCACCACACCCTTGCAGCAAAATGCCCTCTACGTAAAGAAGTCCTGTCTAAGAAAATCAAAACCCATATGAAAAACCACATGAAAACAATCCCTAAATCTTCGCCACAACATCTACCCAGCCGCCCATCTGCAAAAATTACATCCGTTCCACCGAGCTACCATTCAAGCTAGCAAAAAGATCCTATACTGCAGTGTTTTCCCTCTCTGCTCTTCCTGACGCTGCTCCATCCAAGGTGCTATACTGTATGATGTATGCACACCTTACTAATGCTGCAAACCCTGGCTCATTCAACACAACAATCAATGAACTGTTTCGCCTAAACAACATGCCAAACTTCAACTTTCCAGACTCGCCACCATCACAAGACCTCCTCAAGCTAATTCCATACATTGTTAACTTCACCTCAACCCCTGGTCCTACTCGTATCTCTGACCAAGACTCTACTCCAGAACCAACACCACCGTCTACTGCCACCTCTCACCACCCACCACCAGCCCAACAAATCACGACCGACCAACACTCCCTGCCTCCTCTCAACACAGTCACAGAAGACGAAATAGTACCAGAACATTATGAACAACCCTCGGACAACGACGAAGTACTAGTCGAGGAAGAAACCACAGGCAACCGTTACCTAAGCCAAGCCTTTAATGGGTCTCTAACCTTCTACACCACCCCCAACCTCCCGACCGAAATGAACGCAGCTGATATGCTCCACTTAATGAAAGAAGGAGCTGTTAAGTACACCTGCACCAAACCTCACCAAATTCCTTTTGAAAACGCACTATCTTACCTCGTGGCGAATCTGAACTGCTCCAACCTCAGAATGCAACTTTACCACATGTCCAAGAGAGACTTCAAAAGACTCAAGAGTGGCTCCATCACCAGCGAAGTGTAGCCAAACACACAACACCCTTCCCAACACCTGACGTACAAACCAGCTCTTCACCTCAGCCTGTAGCATATCAGTCGGCGAGCACTGTCTGCAGTCTGATCTCTCCTCTATGTCCTCAACATGCCCTCTCTACACTGCCTCGCAGTGCCACGCAGCTGGGTTTAGCCCTGGCTCTTTCATCTACAACTCAAGACCTTCTCACGACTGTTCATCGTCTGTCTACACTTCCCCACTCACCCACCGGAGTCCCAAGAGAAGAGCCTGCTATGTGTGTTCTCATTGTCTGTCCCACGATCGACTTAGCTGCTGGGTTAAGCCCTGGCTCTATTTCTACAACTAAGAACACTCCTCTCCAGCACTATTCTTCGTCTGTCCCGTCTTCCCCGCTCATCCTATTTGGGATCTTACCTGAACTTTCGTTCGTTCGTTCGTTCGTCAGACCATCAGTCACCAAGAGCCATATCTTACAGGATGACGGGCATGTGTGCATATGTGCTACTCCTGTCGGTGGTGTTGCTCGTCTCCTGCAGACCTGAGCTCCCTCCACCTTTCCTTCAGGAGCCTGAAGGTAAAGTGAAGCTGATGCATTATTATTTTACTTTCCGCATTTTTTACTATCCATTTATTTTAGTATTTTAGCTAATTTTTCTTATTCTTTCAGTAATATTTTTAAAACTAATTAAAATATTCATAGAATGTCCGTAAAATATATAGCTTAAAAGAAATGATAGCCGCAAACCGATATAAAATCACTGTATTAAAAATTATCAATCTTTACGTTATACATTTCAAGAATGTTTTACATTATTATTTTTCGTCCACAGCATCCAACATTTCTAACTCATCTGCTACTACATACATTGAGACTACCAAGGAGGAAAAAAGTAACTCATCGTTTACGTCATCGACATCTGTGAAAGAGAGTACCACTTTTATTCACATACCGTCCACACAAGAGGAAAAGAAGAACGCTTATTTTATTTACAGCAGATCATCAGAACTAATGAAAACGTCAGTAATGAGGATAAGATTAGCAGTACCAATATATTTCACTTTTTTATGGCATATTATTGATAGTAGTAAAGTCAAATAATATCAATTATAAGACACATTGGGTATCATGCCATAGGATATTGACAAGCTTCTTCCGTAAAACTATTGTGCAGTAAGAGATTTCTTTATGTTTATATTTGAATAAATATTCGAGCTTTTAACCAAAATTTTTTTCTCCACCTCTAGAAATTTTGGAACCATAGACTCGGGAAGTGGATAAATAGTGGATTTAATATTCCATTTCCCCCTATATTTATAATCTATATCCTAAATTCTGAAAGATATTGTATGACCTCTACAGATATCTGACATAACATTTTATGGCAGAAATCTTCGTCCTGGAGCTTCATCAGTCAATGGGACTGTAAGATTAGGCAAGATTTCGTCGATTTTTAACACCCGGAGGGTAACCACAAATTAAAACCCTGAACGTGACATTCCGCAGATATGTCCCGACTTTTGGAATTAAACCACGTCTCAGTGATGACAAATACATCAATGTTACCTGCACTAGGAGCTAATCTCAACTCGTCCATCTTATTCCTAGCACTACGGCTCATTTTCGCTTTTTTNTTTTTCCATTAAACCTATTAATGTCCTTGTCGCCTAGTGCCATTGGCTTTCCAATATCCACCTCATTCTGCCTATTACTAGTTCCCCTAGAGCTCATAACATTCGTCACAGAACACTTCGACAGTGAGAAGCGATCAAGCGACTTAGCTCGAGTGGTGACGTGCTTAACTAACACATCGACGATCTCGCCTCTCTCGAAATTACCCCGTGTTGAGTAGTGCTTTGAGTAGTGCTTGCTGGACCTTCGTCTTCCTCTCCACCATCAGGATTGGTGCGTCGGTGGTTGCCGACCGAAGGGCAGGAAGCCTCTTGCTGCCTGAATTCTCTTCGCCTGTTGACTGCACGCCATACAGCCTAGTCTCGTGGGACCGATCGTTCGTCGTCGCGTCCGACGTTGCACCCAACTCAGGATATACATGCTCCATCAAGTACAGTTCACTGCTCCTACCTCAGTGTCCTGCCCAGGAGAGTATGTGTGTCACTTACACGTACTTGCCAAGCTGAGAACTCTTACTTATGGCCGCTTGTCACCTCCATTACATCTTTTCGTAATTAACGATGCCTTCGTTGCCTTTCCACCTCCCACCCACCCCCCTTCCACTCTCCCCCAACCACTCCACACCTGCCTCTGTTTCTACTACTCCAATTCCTTCTCGCTAAACCCAATTTTCTAATCCTGATGCCACTATCTGTCCGGAAAATTATTATATCAATCAACTGTGGCACCTCAACTTAAAGTCTTCAGAACCACTCAGGCTTCAAACTCCTTCTTGACAAAACATTCCTACAAGCGTACCACCCTCAGCGATACCAGACAAAAACTTCTCAACGCAGGCTTCACCATTATTTGACTCCTGAGCACCGTGCCAAAAGCAAAGTCATTGCTAAACCAAGACTTACTCTCCTGACAGCCTATGACACAGACAAAGAAGACTTAAATAAAAGATATCAGTACTAAGAACATAGTCTCTGTTGACGATATTACAGACCAGAAAACTCTACCATTCTCAAATACGTTCTACTCCAGCCGCTGACGCCTCTACTCACTCAGTCAAGGAATCTATTAGCCAAGTCCATCCGCATTCCGCCCAAACGCCTCTCACTCCGAACTTCACCAATATCACACAAGTCCTTAAATGCTACAAATTCGGCCACGACAAAACAACATGCACATCTACACAAGTCGCTCCAGATGTCACAACTGGCCCACTTCTGGAATACATGCAACCTCCCCTTAAATGTTTCTATACAGCGGGCGGGTCACACACTGCAGTCTCAAATTCCTGCCCTTCTAGAAAGCACATTCTCT